CACCATCTCTATGAACAAGATAGTCAAATGGCTTTGTCATGTTTTCACTATGACAGTTTATAATTTCAGTGTTTTCCATTGCAAGAATATTTGGTGACACCAGAAAATGCTCAAGACAGCACTATGCCCTACTTGTACAGCCATTTGAAATGTGCAGTAAAGTTACTGTAGATGTTATGGGAGTTTTGGGAGTAACTGAGACACTGAATACATATGTTTTACATTTTTACTGTATAGAAGTGTTTGTAATTCTACAGCATTGTGCAAAAGAAAAATATGCTACAGTCACTTGTACTGTAGAATACATGTAAACAAAAAATCACCCTTTTGGTAGAGCTGTGCACAAATGTGAACAATATACAGTACATGTAACAGTACATACAGTATTGCACAGTACTGTAACATACAGGTACAGTAAATCATTCTGGCACATCCAGACGTTCCTGTCTGTCTGGCCACATATTTTCATCTACATCACAATGGATGTCGTCCCCCGCAATGCAGCGAGGAAAGTATCTCCTGGAGTGGCGAATCCATCCTCTGCAGGACTCTGCTGTGATGTTGTCACATGCTGCATCCATGGCTGCTAGCAGGGCCATTTGCTCATGTGGATGTTGGTCATACAGTAAACTTTCCACCTCCAGGCAGAGAAAAACTCCTCTATTGGATTACACCTCCTCATGAGTGACAGATGAAATTCACCTGTGATCAATTGTTCAATTTAGGAGACATTTCCAGAATAAAATGATAAAGAAAGGTATAGAATTTGCTTGACAGATGACTGATATTTGACATTTGATAACTAGTTCAACAATTTTGTGTGTAACGACTCAAGCAATGAAAGTAAGACTATTAGTTTTATTGAGAGTGACTATTCAGCATCCATAAGTATAATTCATTTTGACTGACATGACATAAGCAAATGGAAATGTCAAAAAACAGCAGAGAAATGTATGAAAGCAACTGATACATGTCCAAAATCATTTGCAGTTTGTTCAGACAAAGGAGAAATTGCTACTATGATGTGCACAAATGACTAAATGTTGTGGAGGTTGAACTAATAGTTATGAGAATTTTAATTCTGATCTGAGAAATGCACCAAAGCGACTGAGAAAAACTGTAACAAGAAAAACAAAATAAAAATAATTGAAATATATATCATAATAAAAATGGAGAAAAAGGAAACATTTGGATAAAAAAATGTGAAGGAAATAAAGAGAATTAGAAAAAAGTAATCGCGGGATCCTAAAAGGACAGAACTGGTTGAAACAACAGCATGAAGAGAAGAGAAAGAATCAAGAGAAGGTCACTGAAAAGCCAGCCTGATCAGATGTGTTTTCAGCTGCTATAAATGGCCAATAAGAGCCAAAGTAAAACTGATCTCTGCATTCCTAACATATTTTTATTCAAAACTCAGGTGTAGCATCATGAAGGAACTGTTTTCCACCTAAAGGTACTCTCTCCTCATGAATAACTTATCTCCGTGAGATATTGCTCAAGGCCTTTGATGCATCTGCATCTAAACTGTTTTAACTAGCTATTTGCCTCCCCCTACAGCTCAAGAGAAGATCAGAAGAACTCCATTAAATAATAATCAAATAACTTTGTTAGTCCAAATAATCATGTAAAGCTCAATGTTAAATCAATCTGTGAAATAATATTAATTACTTGATATTATAATCATATGATAGTATTATAATAAGTAATATAACTTTAAACTACACACTAGACTGATCACACGTAATGTTAAAATCACTTGACACATTCCTTTGTCTCTTCAATCAGAGCTTTGCTTTCTGACGCGTGGCGTGATCTGTGCGATGTTTATTTTTGTTGTCGCATTCTGATTTGACCATAAATCAAAACATCTGAATTATAAAACTAACTCCCACGTCACCCTGAACTCAGTTCAAACGTTCTAGAGTTGCGAGCCGGCCACTTGTAACTTTTTAACCACAAAGAACCTTGACAAGCTGGAAAATAAAACCTGTTGCAAGCTACACCTGATGCAACGCTCCTTCAGAGTAAAAGCTGAACTCACTGACCCTTCAGGGTCCCGCTGACGCTGTCAAACACCTGTTGCTTACCTGGAGGCAATCCCAAGACTAGTCTGTCGTACCGTACGCTGTTTCACCGGCTCCTGTATCAAAGGGGGGGTCTGAGGACCTGGCATTCTGGATCTACAACAGAGATCTCTGCAAGGGTATGTAGCATGGCAAGATGGCGTCTGTTGTGGTTTTTGAAACTCCGACTATAGTTTAGAGCAAAAACATTCGTTCCCACACAGAACTAATGCTTCTCCGGAAACGAGAGTTCTGATAACAACATTCCACATTACACCCTCCATTTTGCCTCATTCACATCTAGATCCATTCATCACATAGAGTGTTTAGAGTTAGTTAGCCTTATTTTAAATTGTTTAGAAATAAATCTTCTTAAACTTTAAAACTTGTCTCTCTCTCTCTCTTTTGACTCTGGGTTAATACGACGTGTTACCTAATCCCTGCAATAAAAAGTTCCGATCTTCTGTTTAAAGTAATATTCAAAGATACATCAAATTGATTCCATATTTTCTATGGAATCTCACCGTTGATGGTTTCCTACGTAAGATGTAACTATTGATAGCCTAGTGAACTAGACCAAATTCTTGCTTTGCAAAGAATGGTCTAGGCATGCTCCACTGGAACCTCAGCAGCTCCTACCAGGACTCTGGCTAGCCAATCACAACTCTCTAGAGGGGCTTCAAACACATAAAGAGCTGTGATTGGTCCATAATGGTGGGCCAATCATAGTGCTCTATCTGCTTAGTGAACAAATCACAGAGCTTTATCCGCTTTGTGGGCCAATCAGGGCACTCTATATGCCTGGTGGGTGGGACGATGCAGCAGAGTGAAAAAAGAGTATGTCACATTCATTGTCCAGTGGAATGCGGAGATCATTTGAAAGACAATGGTAGAACCCGCCCCACAACCGAGAGCCGTGAATGGAGCGTGGCCAGACTAAATAATACATTTATTTAGTCTGGCTTGCCAGGCTAAACTATTGACTCGCTACACAGGAAATCTTTTAGCTAATTTAGCTACCAAATAAATGGAAAGCTTGTGTACAGTGTATTTATATCTGGGTAATAATAATAATAATAATAATAATAATAATAATAATAATAATAATATATCTGTGTCTGAATTACACAGGCAGCCCAACCCAGTTGTAGTTTTAATGTCACAAGCTAAACCAAAGAAACACAGATCATGACATCAGGTTTATTTTTGGGGTCAAAAGTCTATGGAGCCACGTCAGAGCTACAGGCTACAGACCACTGCACTTCATCAGTTTTGAGTTATTGAGTTTGTGTGTGTGGGTGGAGCGGGTAAGGGTTTGCATTCTAACCCTCAGGAGTATGTCTTTGTCTCTGTTAATTAATCATAACACAATAAGAAACTCATCTGTCTAAAAATGTTAATGAGCCATGAGATCACTGTAAATTTTTGTCTGACAGAGCTGTTTAAAATCCCAGATACACTTTATTTATTTATATTTTGCTTGAAACAATTCAAGCTTTTTTTCTCCAGATTTTTTACAGTATTTTTTCTGATCATGGACCGCTTTTAAAGCCTCTTTATCTAAAAATTATTCAAGCATATAAATGCAAGTTACTGACCAATAGCTAGTTTAATAATGTAACAGTAACACACATGTAAACATTTACACAGTTTCAGAAGCATGAAATAGTATTTTTGCACCAAGAATAGGGTTTAACTAGGTATTAGTTACTTCAAACTCATTGGCTGTTTCTCAATATGCATACCTGTCTGTACTCGTGTACTCATGTCTTTGTGAAATGTCATCAACGATTGCCCAAGGACTGTTCCAATCCTAAGTATGCATAATGGCAAGTTTGCTCAAAGTTCATGGATGTGTTCTTGCTCTGCCCATTGTATCGAGGATGCATCAACGCATCCTTCTGCGGACTTGGGACAGTAGTTTCCCATAATGCATTGCGTCACAACCGTTATACTCCGAACATCAGAGGAGAAATCTAATTACTGTTTTCTATCAGAAATACTAATGAATAAATATTAAGTTGTCTGTTATTGTAAATAATTGTGTCTAACCTGTAAAATCTGCTGTGTTTATTTGGGTTTTACTTTTCACCATCTCTCAAAATGCTAATTACATAACTCACTATCAAAAATAAAAGCATCATAGCTCTGTTTTGATGAAATAATTATTTATTTTTATTAATTTAACAGCAGAAAATGCTGGTATTTTATTTGATATGTTTTTCGTTTTGATCAAAAGCAGACCAAATATAATACAAATAATATGATTTTGTTTTTTAAGGAACAAACTAGAATTTTTATTTTATATCAGGTCATTTAACTAGAAACAAGCAGAAGTATGGTTCAGTTCCAAATGCCATCCTCATCCTCCCGTACTCGGTAGAATGGACTTTCTGGGGTCCTTGCCAAGAACATATTTGTCTAGTACACAAGAACCTACGAGTGTCCTTGAGTACTGAGAAATGGCCATTACTACTTCCTTAACTGAAATAGAACTGGAGAAGTGTGTGTTGACCTGGATCTCGTTGCCTTTACAACAAAAATAGTAGTTTTTAGGCTTAAACTGTTAATACTTAATCTGCTTACCTGTAAAATAATGGTGGTTTCTGGGATCCATCTTGAAGATCACCTTTGGAGGAAAAAAAAATCAAGTTGTCATGGAAACAAATATTAATACATGCTGTTGTGTTTTCTCTGATATTTGTGATAAGTGGCCTGTCTAATTTAGAAAAAACTTTTGAGCCAGGAAATGTTCATATTTCCTCGTGGAGTCATAAAAATATGCTTCTGTGTATGAAGTTAGTGTGTTAAGTTCTGAAGGGCCATTGCTTTTAAATCCTTCAGTTCACTTCACTGCATCCTTCATCATCACAGGATGTGGGCTTTTATGTCTTCTTCATTGGTCCCTTTGTTTTTCTCTTTTCCTCCACTCTGCAGCAAATACTGGCCTTTGTTCCTCCTTTTCTTCTACATCCTCTCCCCCATCCCTTACTGCATCTCACGGCGGGTGGTTGATGACACAGATTCTGCCAGTAATGCCTGTAAAGAGCTGGCTATCTTCCTCACGACAGGCATCGTCATCTCTGCCTTCGGCCTACCCATCATCTTCGCCAGAGCTGAAGTCGTAAGTTGTTGGTGTTCTTCATGTGGATGACAAGGGCGATATGCTCTTTTTATTTTATTGGGGTTTCTGTTTTCAGGGTATCCGCGGGTCCTTAAAAAGTCTTAAATTTGCTTTTCCAAATTTAAGGCCTTGAAAATCCTTAAAAATGACAAATAATCCTTAAATCCAGTTTCCAAAGGTCTTAAATTACCAAAGACCCAATAAACAAGATTATTTTATTTCTATAAAAATTTTCGTGAATTTCTAGTTAGTGTTCAGCATTTTTTGTGTACGATGTTGGCGTAAGCGGAACCGTACACATTCAGTTGGTTGTGAAAGGGGGCTATTTTTAGATGAGCACATTAGCTGGTTAAGCAAGTGGGAGCTTGCGCCATGGGGAAGTGCAAGATTAATGGTAACTGGATGGCTAATCCCACGTTCACGACGTGGTTAGCACCGGTTCCAGGCAATAGCTGGAAATTACAGCTTGAATTTAATTTTAAAAATTGCTTCAATTTGGTCAAAGTGGCCTTAAAAAGGGTCCTAAAAAGTCTTAAATTTGGCTCCCTTAAACCTGCAGATACCCTGGTTTTGCAAATTATGTAGCTTCAAACATCAGGTTGTAAAAATTAACTAGTTTATTTTCGTTGATGTAAGTTGTTTCTAATTAATTCAACAAGGGTTATTAGAAGTTAGCCTCTTTTGGCTTTTTGTGCTAAAGCCTAGATTATACTTCTCTGCCTGCGGTGGCACAGAGACAATCAACGCCATGATGTGTCAGTGCAAGGGCTCTTTGGCAGGTCCGCAGTGGGTGACAGAGACATGTCCAATTTTATTGATAAATGACCCGCACTTGTATAGCGCCTTTCAGAGTCAGAAGACTCCAAAGCGCTTTACAGCACAGTGTCATTCATTCATTCATTCATTCATTCACACACACACACACTCACACGCTGACGGTGATGAGCTACATTGTAGCCACAGCTGCCCTGGACAGAGACGAGGCTGCCAAGCACAGGTGCTACCGGTCCCTCCAACGACCACCAGCAGGCTGGGAGGATTAATGGTGCATTCAGATTACCTCCGAATTTGGATCTCGGAACGGGGAATGGAGTCACACCCAAGTTAACCACGTTCTGGTTACCATAGTCGGAGAAGTCAGGATTCCAATATGGCGACGCACACCTCCCAAGTTGCCATTGCTTGTAGATTTCTCTTAATAACATAGTTTAAGCTGTACAGTCAACATGCATACAAAACCTTTAGTATGTCCAGTTTAAGAGTTGCTAGCACTACATGTAACATTGGTTTTAAACGCACTCTTATAAGTCGTCGTCTTCCTCCGCTTATCCGGGTCCGGGTCGCGGGGGCAGCTCCAGACCGTCCTCTCCCCAGCCATCTCCACCAGCTCATCCAGCAGGACCCCAAGGCGTTCCCGGATCAGATTGGTGATGTAACCTCTCCAACGTGTCCTGGGTCGACCCGGGGGCCTCCTGCCAGCAGGACATGCCCGAAACACCTCCACAGGGAGGCGTCCATGAGGCATCCTGACCAGATGCCGAAACCACCTCAACTGACTCCTTTCGATCTGGAGGAGCAGCGGTTCTACTCCGAGTCCCTCCCGAATGTCCGAGCTCCTCACCCTATCTCTAAGGCTGAGCGCGGCCACCCTACGGAGGAAACTCATTTCTGCTGCTTGTATCCGCAATCTTGTTCTTTTGGTCATTACCCAAAGCTCACGACCATAGGTGAGGAATGGGACGTAGATCAACCAGTAAATCGAGAGCTTGGCATTCTGGCTCAGCTCCCTCTTCACCACGACAGATCGGCTCAGCGTCCGCATCACTGCAGACGCCAAACCAATCCGCCTGTCGATCTCCCGATCCCTCCTACCCTCACTCGTGAACAAGACCCCGAGATACTTAAACTCCTCCACTTGAGGTAGGACCTCTCTCCCGACCCGGAGTTGGCAAGCCACCCTTTCCCGGTCGAGAACCATGGTCTCAGATTTGGAGGTGCTGATCCTCATCCCAGCCGCTTCACACTCGGCCGCGAACCTACCCAGCAAGAGCTGAAGGTCAGAGCCGAATGAAGCTAGGAGGACCACATCATCCGCAAAAAGCAGAGACAAGATTCTCCTGCCACCAAACTCGACACACTCCACACCATGGCTGCACCTAGAAATTCTGTCCATAAAGGTAATGAACAGAACCGGTGACAAAGGGCAGCGCTGGCGGAGTCCAACCCTCATTGGGAACAGGTCCGACTTACTATCGGCTATACGGACCAAACTCGCGCTCCTCTGGTAAAGGGACTGAATGGCCCTTAACAGAAAGCCACCCACCCCATACTCCTGGAGCGTCCCCCACAGGGTGCCCCTGGGGACACGGTCATAAGCCTTCTCCAAATCCACAAAACACATGTGGATGGTTGGGCAAACTCCCATGTGCCCTCCATCACCCTTGCAAGGGTATAGAGCTGGTCGATAGTTCCACGGCCAGGACGAAAACCACATTGCTCCACCTCAATCTGAGATTCTTATAAGTGTGTTTTTTTTAACATTTCACCCAAAGTTACTGTTGTTGATACGGAGAGCTGCCATTTTGGCTGTCAAGGTCAGAGTTCTGAAATTATTCCGAGTTTCTGACCAGGAGGTCCGGCTTTTGAATTTTCCTACTCGGAAGTCGGGATTTCCGAATTCCGAGGTCAAATCGAACGCACCATTAGTGTCTTGTTCAAGGACACTACAGCAGAATTCTCTGTCGGTAGCCAGGATTGAACCATTAACTGTCCATCGATAGCGATAGAGACTCCAAATCTGTGATTGATCAGAACGCCACTTCCTTTAAATTTGTCAACAGCACCGACATTCACAAGAAGAAAAAAAAAACGAGTGCTGAAGATATCTAGCGGTAGACACGTAGCAGATTGAATAACGCCTGGCGTAAGAAGTCCGATGATACGAACGATACTGAAGGACCACAAAGGTGCAGAGCAAACATTTTGTTTCTTGAAGGAATTTGCGGTAAATGAGGGTTTGAGGTGGCAACTGCATGAAGTGGTAGAGGAGAATCTGGGAAAAATGTGTTAAAAAATCTCTGAAATATATAAATGCAAGAAAAACACCCAAACTATATACACTTAGTGTACCAGAGACTTGATTGCAATGGTGAGATGATACCACAGAAAAGCGATACGCCCTCTGTTGTTCTGATGGAGAAGTATAAACTAGGCTTTGCTGATAATAAAGAGGATTTCATCATCAGTCCTGTAGAGTGTAAACAATTTCTCGGAACTAAGCTAAAGTGTATAATAGTGATGATTTATGCGTTAGACAGAAACACTTCAGAGTGGCTGAAGCATCCATCTAACATGACACCCACTGCTCTTCCACTGTCTGTTTGTGTAATCTTCATTTTAAAAGCCTTTGGTGTAAAGGTCAGAATAAACAGTTTCTAACAAATGAGATCAGCAGAAGTATTGTGTTTATAAGTGGTGCTACAGAATGAAGCTTTAAACTAGACCATCACGTCAACGCCCTGTTTAAATGATGCCTCCAGCTTAGCAGCAGCATTTGTTAACCTGAATAATTAACGTTTACAGATCGCCTGGGGGGCATGTGCACTGGTGTTAACGGGTAATGTAGTCATCTTTGGGACCATCTTGGGCTTCTTCCTGGTCTTCGGATCCAACGACGACTTCAGCTGGCAGCAGTGGTAAAACGACCGAGGGAGGGGACTTTAGTTTGAACTGTTTTTATTAGCATTACAATTATTATTATTATGGTATTACTGTTTGGTTGTTGTTGTTGTTATTTATATGATGACCACCCATCCATAGACTTACACCAAACCAGTGCAATACTTTTTGTTTTTTATTGCCTGCTTTATTGAACTGACTCATGAAAGAATAGAAAATGCTGACTTTTATTTGGAATAATTTTTTTCTGTTAAGTTTGAAACTGTTTTGTTGTGAGTTGGTTTATTTTCATCTGTAGCTTTCCTTCTATTTAAAGAGTTGTAAGCAGGTGAGAAACCGTGTGAAAATAGTCCAGATGACAGGACAAACCATGTGTTCAGAGCAGTCCATTCTTTTTTTTTTCTCATTAGCAAAAAATCTGAAAGCTCAGAGGGGCTTTGTGAATGAATGAATCCCCTCAGTTCTTTACCTTTTAGTTACAAATATTGTTTCATGCAAGTTTTACTGGAGTCAAAGACTCAGAGTCAGACAAGCATCTTCATCCAGTACCATTCATTTCACACATCTTCGATGAAATACAAAAGAGTAGTTAAAGAAAATAATGACGGCATTACATGTTTAACCTTCAGCTAACAATACAGATCCTTGTCAGCTTTGCTCAGGCAGTGTGGCCAACGTTAACTTGTGAAACTTGACAAGAGCATGATGTGAAAGCATCTAGCTTTTTCTGCCACCAGCAATTACCCCCCCCCCCCCCCCCCACACACACACACACACACACACACAGATCAAATTAAAGTGACCTGAGGATTTCCCAGCAGCCAGGGATGCAGCCTGTTTATTCATCATTTTATTCTGCATCTGATAGCTCTGACAGAACCGTGTGTGTTAGACAGTCTGCACTGGAAGGTCAAGTCAGCATGGTAAAGCCTAAAGCAGCCGCCAGCTAATGTAGGATTAGCTTCTGGACAGCAGCCCAAGCGACCATAAGGCCCGGTCTACTTATAACCAAGTCACCAACAGCTTCAAATGAGGTGACAACTTCAGGTACTCGTTAATTAGGTCTCAGATCCATAGACATGCTAACACATTTTTAACACCAGCATTTCAACAGGCGTGTTAAATGTTAGCGTTAATTTCAGAGATCCGTTATGTCCTCTGGTTCTTGTGAAGGTGGCTTCAGAACCCTGCAGGTTCTCTGCTGCAGGCTCTTCATGTCAAATGAGCCTTAACTGAGCCTTGCTGAAGAATGACACATGGAGAATTTCCTCAGTTTTTAATTGCTACTGTCAAAATCAGTTTAGACGTGTAATTCATTTAATTTAATTCTTTGTGTTACTTGAATAACGTTCACATCCTTTGTTTTGATCTCAGAGGGTTTTTCTGATTGTCTGATTCTCAGTAGAAGTGGTCACACATTTTGCCCCACAATCCATGCCGGCACTCTGCCCACACGCATCATGCACTGTACACACCAAGTGGCCAGGGGGCACCAACCAATCAGGCTTACGATAAAAAAGACTTCTTTGAGACGCCCCCCGTACCCTCCCCAGCCGTCACACAGCAGATCTGCTAGCCCCACCCCCTGGAAGTTCTTTTGACAAAATGTGTGTCATGGCCAGCACAAGACGCACGTACAACACCTATGTGTTAGGCAATTGAACCAATGTATAAAGTTTGGTGGTCCAGTGAATTACTGTAATTTCCGGACTATAGAGCGCACCTCAATATAAGCAGCACCAGCAAAAAAAAAAAAGGTTTTCTACACACACACGCCGCACTCAGATACAAGCCGCGGCGCAGCAGCCACATGCAGGTCTCCGGCGCACAGCGCACGTATGGCCATAACATAAGATAATTAGACAGAAAGACGCTACACGGAGGTTTTTCGTTGTTGTTTTAATTCAACAAAACGAATTTCAAACACGGGCGAACGTGCCTGCAAGTTTAGAAAAGAAAACAGCACTGATAGCATTCATATTTCTGGATGGTTATAAAATAAAAACCGAACTGACACGTTATTACCGGTAATTTGCACGCATGTTTAGAAGAAAAGAACAGCGCTGAAACAGCATTAATAAGCCCTGAATGATTAGAAAATAAAAACTGCACACAAAACATGCCTGGTTAGTAATGATCTAAACAGTGGAAACACCTCGGCCATCTGCTCTTTGTGTGTTCACCCAGTCTTCAAGAATGTTTTCCATTTCTGGCCATCTGCTTTTATTTCCTCTGAAAGCTTTTGTAGTTTTTTTTACATTGAGTGATTTCTTCCTGCTGCCGCCTCCAATGTCGCACCATTGATTCATTTATGCCAAGCTCCCGTGCAGTGGCTCTGTTTCCTTGTTTGATGGCCAGATCGATCACTTTTAACTTGAAAGCTGCAGCATATGCATTCCTCCGCGTGTTTTCCATGACGAGGGTGTGTCTGATGTGTAAACGTGCCGCTTTAAATCAAAGAGCGTCTTCTTCCGTGCATAACGTTTTGCCGTGCCTTTCTCACTTTACTGCTGGAGAGTGCCTCTAGTGGTTGTTGGCCGACAAAAATCTACACATGAGCCGCATCTACACATGAGCCGCACCATGATATTGGCCGCAGGCTTCAAAGCACAGGGAAATAATAGCGGCTTGTAGGCCGGAAATTACGGTAATCATCTGCCTTTCACTCTGTTTTGCCTTGTCCTGACACTGGTTTGAGTCCCTGTGTCAGCAGTAATATATTTTCTTCCTTTTTAGTTTTACTTCTTGATCATTTTACATTTTATTGGTAAACTGTTTAAAATCTCAGGACTAATCTTTTTTTAAAACTTTCGTGATTTACTTACCCAGCTGCAAGGATGCAAAGATTTTCTGCGACATATTTTGTATCTCTAAAGATCTTTGAATGTGGTCATTTCCAAGCAGCATTTCGTTGCAATGCTCCACATGGGACACACAAGTCCCAATGTTCTACTCTGTTCACCTCACATGGACTCACACAGGCTTCACCTGGCTAAATAAACAAAGAAAGTAAAAAAACATAATAGTCCTAAAAGTTTAAATAGTTTACCAATAAAGGGTTTAAAATGTAATACTGGCAAGAAGTGTAGATAAAAATGAAAAAAAAAAAAAAAAATTAGTGCTGACACACGAGCCTGAACCGGCGTCAGGACATAGTAAAACAGAATGAGGGGCAGATACGGTATCCACTAACCCACTATTACAGGAGAGAGATTGATCAAGTCTTGTGCTGGCCATTCTTGTGGACATCTTTTACGGGTAGTATTTTGTCCCCACAGTCATTGGTTCATTTTCATATTTTAATCACATGGTTTCTTACAACAAACATCTTAACAGAGACTTAGAATATAACGAAACAGGATATCTTGCACCATGTTGATAGTAGAAATAATTACGTTTTTTATTTAACAGACAAACAAATGTAAAATGATTTTATGCAGCAATTTTTTTCTTTAGCTAGAAATATTTTTGAACATAATTGTCAACTGCACATTTGATATAGCCTTTGTTTTCAGGTTATTCTGAGAGGTGACAGATTAAATGTTTTGACTGTTCCAAAGGTCACAGAGGTCCAAATCAGTATTTCAATACCATGTTTTTATTTGAACTACAGAGGTTGAAACAGGTTAATAAATTACACTTTTTAAATCAAATATATTAATGTTAATTTAACGTCACAAAGCTCTGTTTGATTTCTGTTAGAAGCTTTTACTGATGTGTGAGTGATCTGATGAGCTGTATGGGTTAGCAGGGTAACCTCACTGTGTTACAGAGGTGTGAACATCTGTTTGAATCTTAAGCTAAATTTGTCCCATTTGCTGTTTTTCTAGTTTTTCATTAAACACCGCTAATGTGACAGTCTGGTGTAGCTGTCGGATGGGTTTCTGTTGTATTCCTACTGACGGGGAGAGGATTTTGTATTTATTTATTTTGTGGGACACTTTGTGTCAGTGTTCAATGTCATTTTCTATTTCAACGTTTGCGATGAAGGAACTAAGATCAGTATGGTGGTTTCTTTTTCTTTCTTTTCTGTTTTTTAATAAATGCCATTTTTGAACATCCTCTCTTTGAATGACTGATGATGTGTTGCAAAACCACACCAGGTATTATTTGCTTGTTTAAAAGTGAACTTTATGTTCTCCATTGCATTTTTATCTCAAACATCTGTACCAACACCGAAGTAGGAGTTGTATCAACTAGTCGACTAGTCGACTTCAGTGCTCTGTAGTGACTATTTATACCTTTCGTCGACTAGTCGCTGTCACGTGATAATGACCGACAAGATGCAGTCCTCGGAAAAGACAGCAGGCGACGAGCCCCTGTGCTTTGGGAGGCGACATGCTGTGCCAGAGCGTCGGTATCTGATGCCCGCTGTAAAACGGACATTTGACCGAATTGTGACCTTTACCCTCTTGCAATTTAACCTTCCCCTCACCCCCATCCTAACCTTAACCAGCTTGCGCATGCAAAGCTCTGATTGTTGATGCGCTCCAGACATCTGCGTCCTGAGCACGGCCACAGTAACATTATCAAATCAGGTGTCGCCACCTCAAAAACAAATTTAACACGCGATTGTTCATGTTGGTTCATTTCCTTTCATGTTTTCTGTCTTTTATTTGTGCCTGATGCGTTTCGCTGCTGTGGAGCAGAGCACATCACCTGTTTTGTCCTCCGGTGACACACCTCACCGGTGCGGCCAGCGTGCAGCGCGCACTCCGCTGTTTTTGCTGTCGGTAGATCTTTTAGAACTGCAGTTCAAAGGTAACTCATAAGGTGAATATTTATGAAGCCAGGTAGCAGTTTTTCTTTAGGATTGAGAGGAGATGCAGGAAGATAATAAACAGACGGGACAGAAAAATAGTCAAATAAAAACAAGTTAGTTTTTGTACCTGGTGGTTGCAACAAACAGACACCATTGAAAGTAATCTGAAGTGAGGAACAGAAAATGAAATATTTATTTAAATGTTTAGAGCAGCAGGAACTCTGAGAGGCTGCAGGCGCATCAGTGAGTTTGTGGCCACTGCGCAGAGGGAGGGGGGAGAGGGCTGAAGCAAGATGCAGAAACTACCGTCGCTTCAGGTGTGTGACGTCATGAATGACTAGTCGAAGTCGACTCGATTTTCATTACTTGACGGTCGACTTAAAAATAATTAAGTCATGCAACCCCTACACCGAAGTAGTCAGTTTACCAACAGATGTGACAAAGAGAGGCACCAAATTGTCACTTTAAATCAACACATTTATGTTAAAAATAATCATATTCAAATGCAATAAAAGGACTTTCCTCAGAGTTTATAGTCTGAATACACTAAATATAAAACAATGTGTTAAAAGGTTTATTAGAAAATGAATCAAAATCTGTTTAACTTATCATTTATACTCAAACTTAGGTAGTAACAAAACTTGCATTTAAAGTCTGTAGATTTATAAAATAACATCTAATATGTTTTTTGTTTAATTTGCAGAGTATCCACAAAATGGTGTTACCTCAATCGGATTGGGAGATACCGACTTAAAAGTTGGTTTTATAGGAGTTACCCCAATACCTAATTAAAGCTCTACAATTTGTTGCCTTAAATCTTGCCAGTGCAGTTGGAGTCAACTCCATCAGCAAAATATCTCATGAACCAGAGGACAGTGCTGATTGGCCAAGCTCTGGCGATGATTTGTTTTAATTTTTAATCTTAATTTTTAAAATATTTATTGGGTTTGGACAGTGCATGTTAATGAACATACATGAAAAACATGAATGTAAACACGACAGATTATAGGGAGCCCGAGTCACTTAGCACCATGGGTCCCCGGAAGAACGAAAAAATGAATGCAAGCCAATGGGGCTTAAAGAGCTATTTTCTAATTCTGTTTGTTTTGTGCCATGGATTTCACACATGATGTCCGTGAATTTTAAAGACGCATTTTGATACCAAGAACGCGCTTATTTTCAAATGGGGGAACAATATTTTAGGTTTTGTGTGAAATCAAGTCCAGGACTGCAAATACGCTTCACGAAAGTGACGTCATCGAACCAGACACGGGGAAAACTGAGGGAAAAGGGCTGTAAGTTCAGCAAACTTCCCACAGGAGGAAAGAAGCACCATAAATCTGGTCATTTGGTAAGTAGCAGCTACTTTGGGGAGAGGAGATTATGTGGTGATGTCATATATGTGACGTGCCGATTTCTAGTTTGTAGTCATGCTAATTACGAACTTTTAAAAACTAATAAATCTCAAAGTATGTGACTGGCATGGTCGAAACACCCATCATTGCTTTTCATTTAAATTGCAGTACAACATATGTGCGATCCAGGGCACAATATCGCTTCCTTGAGCAGATTCTTAGACTTTATCCATTAGAGATTATCCGATATCATTAGAAACATTATCAATTAGAGATTTCTAGATACCATGGTTCTATCCATTATGCTGTTATCATATGACATTAGACTTCTTAAAGGTCAGACTCCTACTGGAACCATGTGTTTAGTCCATTTATAACTTTAAAACTTTCCTAACAAATGAGCCTTATAAACAAATCTAATTTATGATCAAGTTAACCTGAACTTTGATTTTGTGTTCATGATTTCAGTAACATCTCATTTATGATCAGTTACTTCTAAATGAAGATGTTAAATTAACTGAATAGTTGAACAATCTAGTTCTTTAAAAGTTATGAGAAGTATCTCTACCTTGTGTTAATCAATCTATTTCTGACCTCAATTAACAGTTTCTGAAATTAATATTGAACTCCTTCCTAGTAGACTAATGAATATTTGCTGTCATTTTTGCTCAGTCTTTATTCTGCCTCCACTTTAGAGTAAATCTGCTCTCACTTTCTTATCTCCTTCTGTATCCAACAAAGGGAATGCCCCTCGCCCATGACTCATCATTATTGTTTTAAATGTTTGCTAGACAAGCATTGTAAGGTGACAATTGGCCTACAAGAAAGTTAATTGTGTTCAGTAGCATGCATTTTACATTATGATCTAACAAATATTCTTTGATTGTCACATTATTTTAAGAATAACCTAAAAAAACTACTATCTAGTAGTTTTTAAGTCTGCCAGTCATTTATTTCTTGCTGTTTTCTGAATATAAACATTTTATTTGTTCATTATCAAACGTAGGTTTTATTCCTCTGCTTGACCTTGAAACTACTTAGAGCTCTTCCTCAGCATAGCTTTGTTTCCTGAAGTATGACTGTTTTAGACAAACTACATTTTTACAAATTACAAATTACATCTCCTGCTTATAACGTATATTCCTGGAAAAACTTATTATGTTTTCAAACACTTTTAGGGTTGTGTGAACCCAAGATCATCAGTTGTTGAATTGCACGTTCACTGTCTCTATGTGACGAATGAGCTTTATTCTCCTTAAATATATCTGCTGTTCAGTCTTCACTTACGAGTTTTACTGTCAGACTCGAAGACTGGGTTCGGGAGTATGAGCTTTTATTACAGACTGCTGGCTGAAAGCGATGCTGGAAAGGGTGACCGTTGGATGAGGTCTGAGGAGGAAAGGTAGAGGTTTAGCTGTATTAGCTTCGGAATACTCTGATCATGGATCACAGTGGAACGATGACTGAGTGAAGAGCCGGTGTGGCGTCTTCCATTTATAGACATGGATTGACGCAGGTGCAACGTGGAGGGAATCTCCGCGAGGGGCATGCTGGGTAATGTGGTCCCAGACGGAAGCCGGTCATCTGGGAGAGCCCGGCCTGGGGGCTTGGACTCTGACAGGACCCCCCGGTCCAGGGACGGCTCCAGAAGTCCCCGGGCCACCTCGGTGGGCCCAGAAGTCCGAGATGAGGGCAGGGTACAAGATGGAGCGGGCCGGCTCCCAGGAGCGTTCCTTGGGGCCGTAGTCCGCCCAATCTACGAGGTACTGCCAGCCCCGACCCCGGCGGTGAGCATCCAGAATGCGCCGGACGGTGTAGATGGGCTCACCGTCGAGGAAGCGGGCCGGCGGAGGCGCTGGAGCCTGAGGCGGCAGGAGGGAGGATTCCACGTAAGGCTTGAGCTTATGGACGCGAAGGCTTGTAGGCAGCCGCAGCCGGTACGTGACCGGGTTGATGACCTTCTGCACGGGGTAGGGCCCGAGGAACCGAGGAGCGAGCTTCCTGGAACCGGCACGGACCCGGAGGCCTGCCGTGGACACCCAGACCTTGTCCCCTGGAGCATAGGAGGGACCCGGGCGGTGCCTGCGGAGGTGTTGGTGTGAGTAACGGGGTTTGGCCCGGGTAATGGAGGCCCGCGCCTTGATCCATGCGTTCTTGCAGCACCTCACCAGGGATTGAGCGGCCGGCACTGCGACTTCGGGTTCTTGGTGGGCAAAGACTGGGGGCTGGTAGCCGTAGTAGACCTCGAAAGGGGACATCTGAGTGGCCGAGGAGGTGTGGAGATTATGAGACAGTTCCGCCCAGAGGAGGTACTTAGGCCACTGCGAAGGCTGGGCCGAGACAAAGCAGAGGAGGTACCGGCCCAACTGTTGGTTCGCCCGCTCCGATTGACCGTTGGTTTGTGGGTGATAGCCCGAAGACAGACTGACAGAAGCTCCCACTAGATGGCAGAAGGCCTTCCAGAAACGGGCCGTGAACTGGGGGCCACGATCTGAGACCACGTCGACCGGGAACCCGTGGAGACGCACCACGTTCTCCATAAACAGTTCAGCAGTGCGTCGGGCCGAGGGGAGGCCCGGGAGGGCGATGAAGTGAACAGCCTTGGAAAACCGGTCAGTGTCCGTCAGGATGGTGTCGAGGTCGTTGACCCGCGGGAGACCTGTGACGAAGTCCAGCCCCACATGGGACCAGGGGCGGCTGGGCACCAGAAGAGATCTGAGGGTGCCAACCAGAGCCTGGGTGGATGCCTTAGAGCAGGCGCAGACGTCACAGTCGCTCGTGAATTCCTTAACGTCCCTCTCCATACGTGGCCACCAGAGAGCCCGTTTCTGGAACTTGAGAGTCCGAGAGAAGCCCACGTGACCAGACAGGCGTGATGAGTGGGCCCAGGCCAACGCCTCACTGCGACAGGCCGTGGGGACGTAGAGCCGACCGGCGGGGTCTCT